TATCAAAACAGTTGGCAATTAATTTAATAGTTGACGATGAATCGCTGCAGCTCTCGACATTCTCATTGCCATCGTCAGCCTGGTCTGATCTCTATAGATGTCATTTGAATGTGGCTTTACATTTGACAAAATACAGTCTCTGCAATGAATTGGATGAACAAATAAGACTTGATGCTGAACACAACCTAAAGATCAAGATCACTCTGCATTGTTTTGTTTTAACTGACACTCTCAGCCTTGTTTTTGTTCTCATCCTGAAGCAAATCAAGCCCGACGCGTACGCACACATTTTCCACCACTCCCTTGAACCTGACATTCTCAACCAGATCCTGAGGACTCTGCATGGTTTCTATATCAAGTGAGTTTTATGAGGCACTGAGAAGGAAATAATCCAGAAGCGAACTGGTTTACATGTGTAGTATTGTACTGTACATTAACGCCAGTCTTGTGCAGGAATGAAGCCCCCACCACCACGCTGGAGATCCTCAAGAGTCTAGCAAGTGTGAGACGCTTCGACATGGCTGTCATGTTCATGTCGTCCCCGGAGAAGAAAGGTTGAGTCTCTTTGATGTACTGTTGCAGAAGATGACTCATACTTTTCACCCACACTGTCCATCACACTGATTACTGCTTTTCTCTTACCCCAGTGCTTAAAGAAGTGTTTGACTTCCTCCACCAAGCTGAGCTGGAAGGATCATCTGTCACAGCCTTGCAGAAGAAGTACGGAGTGTGACGCTTGGATTTAAGGCAAAGCTATAGATTTTAAATTTGTGCTGCATTGTTTTCAAAGCCAACTGAACAATGTAGATATATTCTAATACTGAATAAACTTTCATAAAAATTCACTCTCTCTAATTTGGACTGCTGTATTATGGCCCTTTATCTGTGGAATAGGATGCCATCTTCCTTCTCTGTTCTTGATGCTGCATTTATTGAAAGTTGGGAGTTAGAAATTTACACATTTTAAATTGTAATTCTGATGCCATTCAGTGTTAAAGTTCATAAAAACAGATACTTCCAGTGTAAAATCCGGTTCCCTGTGCAACAGCTAATGTCATCATTGATACTCTCTGTATTTAACCATTTACTGCACAGCTATTTCCATCAATCTATTAGCATGCATTCTGAAAATAGTTGTATAGTCTATAGGTGTAGGATTATGCACATCCAATGTATTTGGGCTCAGATGCTGCATAAAGGCAAACTATACAGACGGTGGAAAAGGACCTGTATGCTGAAATCAGCTGAAATTGACACTTGAAGCTCAGATTACAGCAGATATTTTACTCTGATACTCTGGGATCATAAATGTATCGTCGTGTTAAAATAGAGTCAAATCATAATGTCCCAACAGGAAGGGACGTTCTATGAGAGGGAATTGTGAATTTCCGACTTTCCAATTAATCTTGAATGCAAGGTAAAGCTGTGGATCGGTCTCTGTGAGTACTCCGCCCTGTTTGAATCTTCCTCCCGTTCTCAAGTAAATCCTGACGCTGCATTGGCTAAACCAGGTTAGACTATAAAGAGATGGAGGTGTTAAGTTGGAGTCACAAGTGTTGCTCTGAACTAGAAATATAATTGTATTTTGAAATTTGTGTGTGTGCTGTTAGAAAAGATTTGACCTACTGTAGTTACTAACTCAACATTGTGTGATCTAAAATGTGTCAGATGGGTGGTGAATTAACACTGTAATCAGTAAACGCACAGTAGGTAATTGTTTATTAAGTATAATAGTGCATATTGTTTGGCAAGAGAAATGGGAATACATCATGAAAAGAAAATGATTAGCCTTGTGTAATTAAACCCCAAATCGTATTGCTCAAGCACACAATCCATAAGTCCTTTCTCTATACCCGTCTAATCTTGTTCAGGGTCACAAAGAGGTTGGAACCTGTCCCAGAATGCATTGTGATAAAGACAGGGAAACACCCTGTTCAGGTTGCCAATTCCATCACAGTCAGCATACACAGTGCTTGAGCAAATATACCCTTACACATACAGTAAGTGTCATTACTAAAAAGATTACCAAAGTATATATCTTTGTGTTTGCAGATCAGAAGAATTTAGTTTGCATGTAGAGTACAGTTCTTCCAGTGTCTCAACATCCACACCAGTGAGGATCTGCAGAAAGATGCACATACATTAGAACGGACAGCAGCTACGAGCTTCGTCTAAATTCGCTCAAACCTCCAACAGCAGCCTACCTGAGACACTGAGCGACTCGTAGGCCGTCGCCGTCTCCCCGGTGTATGTGTTCTCAGCCTGGCAGCTGATGGACTCTTTGGAAACATGGCGGTTCACAGTGATATCAATGGCACTACCCTTGATGGTTTTTCCAGACACGGTCCATGTGAACGTGCAGGAAGGAACGCACTCAGCTGAGCACGTAAAGCTCGCCGTGACCCCGATCTCAAGGGTGTCTGGTCCTGAAATGATCACGTTCAGTGGTCCATCTGCAAGAGAAGGGACACAAATAAAAGCCAAAGGTCTTTTTGCTTTTTCTTTGTTGTCAGAAAGGCTATGCAGTTAGGGATTGAAATAGATTTGGTTGTTAAAAAAAAACATGAGCTCAAATTAAATTTGTTTTATCATTACTTGCTATTTGCAGCGTTGTTTCATCATGCAATGACAATCCTGTAAAAGGGTTGACTGCCGTGCAGGTCAGGTTCAATGCTGGTTGTGCTTCCTCAAACTGCAAGGTCAGCTCCGGGCCCTCAGAAGTCATGTTACCCCAGGTCCAGGTGAACTTGCAAGCCGGGTAGCAGCTGGATGAGCACTGGAAATCATACTGTGTTCCCACAGTCAATATATTTGGTGTTACGAACCCAATACTATTCGGCCCATCTGTGGTTGGAGGTAGAACCGAAAGACAGACGGAACTCTTTAAAAATTGCATTCATTTACAGTATGATTTTTTTAAATCCAACAAGGAGAAATATTTTGCCAATAAAACATTATATGTAAAGTTATTCAGACATTTTAGTTATTGCATGGATTCATTGTTATTGGAATAGCTCTTTTTGTTGTATTTTCATGTACAATTTTAGCAAGGAAATGTCAGAAAAGAGCATCAGGAAAAGTCGGCAAAGCCTGACCTTCGTCAGCTTTGAATGTATGTCGTTTCCAGCAAGTTGACACCTAATTCCCCAGATCCACTTTGTTTGAACTTTTCAGACAGAACCATGAAGAAGTAAACTAAGTTTAGGACTTGGGACGTGATTTAGGACTTGATTGCAAAGACTTGAGACGTACTTGGGACTTGCAAAACACCTTGCTCCCACCTCTGTACTGAGCAGCCTTGGGCCTTGCTTAAGCAGACCTCCATATTAGTTTATGAAGAAGCAGAAAACATATCTTGATCTCTTTTGTAGCCACTTAATCTCTCCAGCGATTCACACAATGACAACTTGGTCCACGTCTCTAACATATTGGACACCACTGTCTCACTCCATAATGACATGACTGCGATGACCACAGTATACTTACAGATTACTTGCATGTTGTAGCTAACCGACTGGATTGGGGTGTCACTCTCTGTCACCACACATTGGTATAAACCTGAATCTGACCACAGGAGATCACTGAAGGTCATTGTGGTGTTGTCAGGGGAGAAATTCAGTCCTTCAGATGCTGGCATTGGGCGTTTGTTCTTCAGCCATGTAATGGACACTGGGTTCTGAGAGCCGACACACTGCAGGGAGAAAGAGTTGCCTGCCAGTGGTGCGGCTTGAGAGGTGGGACGCACCGAGATGGGGTCTGTGCAGAGAGAACATTCAAAACACCAAGCATAGACATGAAAGACATGATGTGATTAGTTTCTTGTACCTGATACCATGTTTTATTCATAAATCAGGTGGTAGCAATATCACACTCACCGGAGACAGTAAGGTTCTTAGTGGCGGTGATAGTGGTGTGAGATATGGTGTTTGTTGCCTCACAGATCAGAGGCTCAATCTTAGCATAGTCACTAAAGGTAATCTCCAGGTGACTAGCGAACTTTGGCTTGTCCCCCTGGTTCAGGATGGGTATCTGGATTAAGCTACCCTGGAAAGTCTTCCCCATGTACTTCCATGTGAAGTCACAGGATGGGATGCATGTGGCAAAGCACAGGAACGTGTACTGGTTTCCCATCACCACTTTACTGTCACCACTGATACTAATGTCAGATGAACCTAAAGAAGGAGATATGAAAGAGACATTTTAATGTATTGTGCTCTTTTTACAAGGTAGAACTGTGTGCAATCAAGGTCTGCACCCGAGTTTTTACAGATGTATCTCACAGTCTTCATCAGCAACTTGAACTGGCTCAGGAGTTTACTTGCTTTATTTCTGTGATAAAACCACTGAATCTAGGTAAAGTTAGCTAACATTAGCCACTGTAAGCTAGTGGTCATAACAGTCCAAGTAAAATCCTGAGTGTATGAAACTGATGAAGGCTGCATTCGATGGCTAATGAATGGAACTTTTCATTTGTAAAAGGACGATCGTGTTATTTCTCCTTTCTAAATTGTATAAATCACACTTTAATCTCAGCCGTGTAATCCAAATGAAATCTATAGCTGTAAAGTTATATAAATCATAGGATAATGATCATTAAAACACAGAAATGCAATCCAAATGTAATTAGAGGTCCCTTTGAAAAGCATCTAATGACAATGTAATATGCAAATAAACAAGTTACAGAAATTTAAATCAAACAATGCATTTCTCACTGACTTCATTCATGTATAGCACAACTTTAACAGCAATCACACCCATTTGTCTTACGCAGTATTCCCAGTGGGGTATATTGCATGAGAGAAATGTGGATTTTCTTTTACATTTGTTGCTTTTTCTTAAACTTATTTATTGTTAATTCTCATTAGAGGTTAAGTTGTTTCACATACTTGCCACCCACAGAAACAGGGTCGTAGAGATGTAGAGGTGTGAGACGGTGTCCTGAGCCTCACACAGCAGAATTTCAGAGTCGACTGTGTTCGTAGGTGGAGTGACAGAAATTGTGTTGCCTTGCGAGGTACTGAACACCTCCTCATCAATGACAACGCTCCATGAGTAGCTGCAGGAAGGGTAGCAGTCAGCTGAGCAGGTAAAGACGGATTCAGCACCAAAGGTGAGCATGGGTGGCCCGCTGATCTTTACGTTCGATGGTCCAGCTGAAAGATTTGTAAGGAGATTTGGTTGAAGGAAGTGATGCTGAAGGAACTCATGCATTTGAATTCACTTTGGTTGTTCATACCCGTCACTTGCAGCGTCTTCTGGACTGTGGCTGACTTCCCTGTGGTGGGATTGACCACTGTGCAGGTCAGGATCTGTGTGGGAATTCTGTGCAGAAGCTGTAGGCTCAGCTCAGGCCCCTGAGAGGTCACGTTCCCCCTGGTCCAGCTGTAGTGGCAGTCTGGGAAGCAAACAGACGTGCACTGGAACCCATAGAGGATTCCCACTGTCACTACGCCGACCCCATAGATCTCCACTGAGGATGGCCCATCTGATCATTTTTCACAAAAAAAAAAAAAAAACATTAGAAAGTATTCAACTTGTGAGGAAATTGTAACCTGTGAAAGAAGACTGACATTCAGCACAATGCAAGAATCAGAAAAGAGCAAATAAAGTTTGCTTTGGTGCAGTTTTTAAACATTTGATGTCAGTTATTCAGAGTCAGAATTAAAAGGATCTTACATGAGGTTTCCCCCACGGCTCCACCCTGCTCCTTTTCACTGGCAGAAAAACCTTGGATATGATGAAAAGAGAATACATTAACATCATTCGTTCTCTGGTTGCAACACTGCAAGCCAAAACAAATCTAATCTAAATAATTAGACTTTAAAAAATCATGTAATTAACATTTTTCAGAACTGATAATTCTGCTGAAATGCTGGTTAATGCTAGCAGGCAATGACTGAGCAGGGCAGCCTCTTACCTGCCAGGCAGGAGAGCAACAGCGGCAGCAGCAGACGGGCTGAGTGATGAACCATGGTGTTGCAGACAGTCTATCCACACTTCTATAACCATCCACATTCTTATAACGTACGGGAAACAAAGGCCTTGCCCACTGTTATCGCACACTCACACAAAACACAGACAAATGAGCCAATGTTCCTGGCAAAGGAGGGCAACATGTTGGTTATCAGCTGGGTTTATTCTCTGCAGAGGGTGTGTGTACAAGCAGCCGACGAGTTGTGTGGTTTTGTCTTCTGTTGGTTGTGGTTGTTTCTTTTGTACCTGCAGTGTTAATCCAGGTCAGATCGTGTGGCTCCCTCTTCTTTCATATCTTGCGGATGTAAAGATTCTGAACTCAATTTATCACACAATCTTGAGAGAATACAACTGCAGCTGTCTCTGGAGCTGGGGCTGATATGTTTTGGTGTTTACTTTGTGGTTCTGTTAATGTAATTATCTTTTATTAATGCCTGTACTGTATGTTATCACTGTGTGAAGTCAAAGCTACACTACTAACAGTTCTTGCGTGTTGTCAGCTTAAATGTGTAATAAGCACTCTTCCTTGTTCTTCTCACCCACTAAGAAATACATTTACTTTGCTGATGCGCACAGCAAAGTACATTGATATTTGTTTGCATTTGGGGGCATTGTGTGAGCTTTAGATTTTACATTTTGGGTTCATTTTTGCTCGACTGTATTTTTTGGACAGGATATAAGACATAAAAAATATATGGAGAAATTATTAACTAATAATAATTATTAGTAGTAATTATTATTAATAATAATATAGTTTACCTTAAACCATCCCTATATATATATATAGTTAGGTAATCGTATTGTTACATGTGTTTTAGTTTATCTTTGTTTTTGAGTTGATCTTTTTGGTCTTTGAGATTAATATTATTGTATTTTACTTCAATATAATGTTTTATGTAACTCAAGGTGTTGAAAGAACAGGCTGGAAGCAGATGGTGAAAATGCAAGGGCAAGCTGATCCCCCGTGGTAGTAGGAGGCAACGGGCCAGTGACCCCCAAAACACTTGGGGGAAGTGGCTCCACAAGCTCCAGGGACAACATCAGAATAAGCCTCAGTCCGAGAAGACGCGCTAGTTCCTAAGGAATCCATTAAGATACTGCGCAGAACCCTCAAGCTCCCAGGCCTCTGGTAGAGGACCCGAGCTTGAGGATGACACAGATACCACCCCAAGAGGGTGAGAGGGAAGTTTTTTTTTAATATATATATATATATATATTATTCATTTGTGGACAGCAGAAACATAACAAACATTAAACATCTCAAGCTGCTGAATCAGAGCTGTCCAAAGTGGGCTTCCCAAACCACATCCTCTAAGGGATAAAGTTTGGGCACCCCTGATCTAAATGCCCCTCTATGTTCACTAGCTAGTCACTGACTGTGTCTGTCTGCTGTTTGGTGCTGGGCTGGTAATTAACAGTTGGTTTATAGAGCTTTATCACAGAGAACAGCTGTCTGCTGCATCTAAAAACAATGCTGTGAGAGGGAAAGGTTAATTTTTTTCATTTTCTTATTACTTAAATGTTTACGTTGGAAAGAAATAATTGCACTCAGGAAGTAACACGAGCTGATCCAGTGGATTTCCACTGAATGCACCCCTGCCCTCTAAGTTATACATATTAATAATAATAATAGTTGCGTTTAACAATGATTTTATTTCCTATTAGAGACAAAACTTTGTCTAGTGACTCCCAAACTGTGCTTCAGGGTCTCTCACAATTACAATTACTGTCACAATGAGAACAAATTAGTGCCAGTGATGTAAGTGTCAAATAAACCTAGAATGCTGTTGGTGTGGTTTACAGTCCATCTTTTGTAGATCAAAGTACTAGCCACAGTGAAGTACTTTGACTTGCAGTGTTTGTCAGTGGACTAATAGGAACCCAGGGTGTGTCGTTTAACCGTCAGTGCTGTTTGCCAATGTAAGATTACAGCAAGGGTACCTGAAGCGTGTAGAATGTTGAATTTAAATTACATATGAGTAAGACATATAGAGAGTGTAAAGTACCATCCGACCTGCAGGTGGAGCCTAGGCTGAATCAAGGCTATCAGATCAATTTAAGTTCCAGAGTAGTTTAAAGCCCTACACACACACACACACACACATTTTTTCACACTTAAATGACTGATACTAACTACAGCCTTATGTTTCTTATTAGTTCATTAGGATTAGTGACCTTTGATCATTTCCAGCACAGCCCCACCCAACAACCTGAGCAGAGGTCGAGCTGCAAACACCTGCGTCTGAAGCTACTACACTGACATATTGGATTTATTTAAGATTTTATTACAAGTGTAAGATGGAGTGTTTGGTAACCTAAGAAAAAGAGTCTCGAGATAAAAGTCATCAGTGCATTTTATTTATCTACAGGCATACATTTTTTAATATTTCAGATGTACCAATGCAGAAGAATCGTACAAATATCCTAACAAGTCAACAAATTCTGACATTACATGTGCACACTCCCTGCTGCTTCAATTGCTCTCGCTAGAAAGTGCAAACAGGGTTCAGCCCACTGTCAACATGCAGACTGATGGAAAGGAATAATATGCAGTGTGAGATCACAGGTACATGAGTCATTAGTTCTCCATAATTCAACCACCTTTCTTCATCACAGGGTCATTCACAGGTTGTAGAAAGACCTGACAGACGGATACAAAGACAGAGAGAGAAGATGAGAAAGGATTTTTATGATGGAACAAATACAATAAGTCAATACCTGCAATTACAGCTAAAACAGTTAAATCAAATTATAAGAAATCAAACTTAGAAAATCTACAAATAACAATATTAGTAAATGTGAAATAATAAAGACCCATACAATTATGAATAACATTTAAAAGCAACCAAAAAAAGAAGATTGTCCCATGCTACAGTAGGTAATCCTCTGTAAGTGTCACCTGTTTGCAGTGGGATCACAGTGTGAATGCAGCAGAAACGATGAAGGCCAGCAGCAGCACAGCTGAAGTCTTTCCAGGACGAGTGGACAGGCTTCGATCTGACCCTGAACACAAGAAAATGGAGGTCAAACAAAAAAAGACGGTGTTAATATGCTGTAAGATTAAGATTATCTACCTGTTATTTGTACAGTTTTTGAGGCTGTTGCTGTCTTCCTCGAAGCAGTGTTTTGTGCCTCACACTTGAGGGTGACAGATTTAAGTGGATGATCCACTGTCATCTCAATCACATTGCCCCTCACAGTCTGACTGTCCACAGACGACACGTAGCGACAAGAGGGCAGACATTCAGCAGTACACACAAACTTGTACTTTTTTGACATTTCTATTAGATCAGGGCCTTTGATCTGAATCTCTGATGGACCAGCTGAAAGAGAGATAGTGAGCACAGATCATTGCTGAGAAAAAGCTTGTAAACTGTACTTTATTTAAAAATGCTAATATAATAGACTATTTTATATGGTGTGTTTTCTTGAAATGTAATAACTGGTTCCAAAGTGCAAACCATCGAAATCAAGGTTGTTTTTTTTGGAAAACTTGATATATTTGCAAATGACAGTTCAGTTTTGTGTAAAAGTTTTTAAGTGATCTAATGCTCATTCATGAAGCCATATTGGAGGTCAACTAATGTTGGGGAACAACTTCCAGTTGTGTTTCTAAACGTACAAATTGTCTGTCTCAGCAACAACATTGTTAATTTCATCATTTCATACCTGATTATGTGTAGGTGTTAGCTGATTAGCTAACTTATAACTGGCCGTCTAATTAATTTACTTATTAAAGGAATAGTTTTACATTTTGGGAAATGCAGTTATTTGATTTCTTGCCTGTCTAATATGTGCGAAAACCAAAGTGTAAACAGTCTTGTTGTCACCTTGCCTGACAACCAGCCGAGATTCTAGGAAGTCACTGCTACCAGCCAAGAAATAGGCCGGGACATAACCCCCCATAAAACCACAACATGTCGTTCTTTCATTTTTTTGGCAAAATTTAAAAAGATGTAACACATATAGCGAGCTGTTGAGGTTTTTGTGGGACAATTTAGTTATCTTTTGACAGATGCAAGCGGCTAGCTGTTTCTAAGCTAAGCTTAGCTTCATATTTATCATACAGACACGAGTGTGTATACATTTTCTCATCTAACACTCTTTCCAGGGTTAGGACCTTTCACCCCATTAGTAAATCTAGTGAAACTCTTCACTTACATATCACGGCTATGTTTCGAGTAGCGGCGACAAACAGCCCGGACACACTATTGGTGGCTTTGCAGATGAGGATTTTAGAGTTGTCCATCTCTCGAGGAGTGACCGAAATAACATTCCCTTGACCACTAATCCATGGACCTTTATCTATCTTCCAGGCATAGGTACAAGATGGCCGACAGTAGGCGTGACAGCTGTAGGTATGGCTCACTGCCGGATTCATCAACTCAGGGCCTGTGATGGAAACGTTGGCAGGTCCAGCTAAGGGAAAGACATTCACAAAGCACAATAGTTGTGATTATAGGTCAATTATTCTAAGAGCTATGGTCCAAATTTTCTGTGCACCAATGCTAACGATATCTATCTATTTAACAACTATCACTTACCTAACACTTGCAGTTTCTTTGTAGTTGTGGCAGTCTGCTTTGCTTCGTCATCTGTGGCTGTACATGTCACTGTTAAGGCCTCCACCCAGCTGTTAACAGTGAAGGCTAACACATTGCCCTGACCCTGGGCGCTCTGTCCATCCAAAGACATAGAATAGGTACATCTGGGGCAGTTGGCAGCACATTCAATGCTGCTCGGCACACCCACAGTCACATAATCCAGACCGAAAATTGTACAGTTGATTTTCTGATCCTCTGAAAATGAACAGAACAGAATTACCACTACAATGTATCTGAATGTTAATGATTATTTAGATAGCAGCTTCAATATAGGTTTTATCGTCTATTTGAATGACAAATCACTTACCTATATCATCATCATCTAGTTCAGGGGTCTCTCCATCTGTAGACAGTACTGTCTGAAGGCCTACACAGTCAATGAAAACATATTCCATTGTTATCTAAAACCCAGATACTGTTGTTAAGCATTGAAGTTTAATACTATTTTAAATAACAAGGCTATGTAACTTTAACATTTTTCAAGAAATCACAAGTTTAAATAATTTAATTAATTTATTTAGTTAAATTCACCTTTGCAGTTACATTTTTAACTAATTTTAACACGTTTTGCTGCTATATATTCATACATGGTCTAGCATGACCAGCACAATTTTGGCTAATGTTAGCTCTGTGTAACAGTCATTAATGAGTCAGTTTGCAAACTTAATAACTTTTTTGTGCTAGCTTTAAAGTATCTTTTTGCATTATCCCATTGTAACTGCTGTAATTGCTTTAGCAAATGTTAAGTTTGCAATAACCTATATATTATTATACAACAATGTAAAAATATCACGTTAGGCAAGAAGTACAAATTCAGCATATAAAATCTTACTTAAGTATTATCAGCAAAATATTCATATATATAAAACTAGCGCTCATTTTGCGGCAAAATACCCGTTGAGTGTGTAATATTATTATTCGATTATTTTCACTAAATGTGTACGTAGCATTTTACAGTTGTAGCTGGTTGAGGTGGAGCTAACTGTAACTATTTTAGGCCTATATAGTTTTGTGTCGTTTAATCTATAACAATGCTTCATATTTTAAAAGCTGTTCTTTTTTTAAATTCATCTGAAAAATAACTTTTAACTATAGCATTCGAGTAAAAGTACAATATACTTCTGAAAGGTATCGAACTAGAAGCATAAAGTAACTTGAAAAACTCAAGTGAAATAAAAGTATAGCTAAATTGCAATGTAGTGCATGATCTATCACATTTATAATATACACAAAGTGAGGACTTTTCCTAGTAAAGATACAGTAAAAAAGGGTTTTCCCAACAGCCGTTAAAATGGAAGCACTCCCACACTGTGCCAAAGGACCATATTCTCACAACTATAATCTGAGTCAGCCACTGATATTTTTATCAAGAGGAAAATCCTTGTATTACCTGCCACAAACAGCAGCAACAAAAGCCTGCTGAGATGTGAGTGTCCTCCATTCTGTTTAGATATGTAGGTATTATCCATTGTCCCGTAAGACCCTGAAGTGTACAGCCACGAGGTAATAGACAGCTGGAACTGCATAGCCAGTCAGTCAACATCAGCAGGCAAACAGCTCTTATCGGAGAGAGTTGGGAAGAAACATATCTGCCTCCTTAGTCACTCTAATGGAAAATCCATTGCTTTTTATTTATGACAGATCAAAGTCAGAAGAGTATGACTCACATTGGTTGACAAATAACCAATTTAGATCTATTTACTGGTGAATCTTGGGTATGTTTTCCAGATGGGAGTCCATGGAAAAGCTCAGTTGTTCAGCTAAAGTGGAGGATTAGCAGCACTCTTTTGTTTAGATGTCTAGTTTAGGGAGTGTTTTAGTGATTGTATGATGGTGTAATGGTTGGGAGACTGGCCCAAATAGGGAAATGTCACAGGTCTGGTCCCTTTAAAGGGGAATATGTCCCAAACGAATCAGGATTTCATATTGGAAAGCACACATATAGAACAAAATGTAACATGGTATCACTAGTACTCACTTACTAGTACTAGTAAACACCTTTGTCACGTTTAACGGTTCTGTGTGTCATTTACAGTTGGAAATTGTTTGAAGGAACCACAGTGGTTAATATAATGTGCGTGACAACATTATTCACTTCTGCATTCCCAGCATTCACCTTGGTTCTGTACAATAGGTGACCTCGCCCTTAGTTCCAGAAATACGTCCATTATCAGAATAAATGATCAAAATGTAAACAGACAGAAAAAACTGCTACTTAATGGAAACGCTAACTTTAAGGAAGCAGTAGCAGTTAGAATAAATTTAAACATGTCTAATAGATAACGGACAAAATAATCTGGCACACAAACAGAATGACAGCTGAGCCTCTGAACAATTGAGCAAATCACATTTATTGAAAGCAAAACAATCTAAAAATATCCATTATTCCTACACAAACACAACAAAGTCAACAAGAAAATAATATTTTTGGGTGCAAGTGTGTATGTGTGAGCGTGTGCAATTTGGTGTGTGAGAAAGTGTGCAGAGGGATGTGTGCACAATGTGTATACGAGTGTGCTTTTAAAGTGACGTCTCTCTGGAGTCCCTGGACGGCCTGAAGGTCAGTATCTCTGTGAAAGTGTGACCTGCACAAACACAAAAGAGATGATTATGCATCTGCCATTCTACATCATGTCTGTCCTATTTTCAGATCCAAGTTCAACCTGTTTCTCTCCTATTGTAGGATACTGATAAAAAATGGAGCCTTCCATGTATTATTAAGTGTTAAAAGAAGCATCAAGTAAGATCTTCAGTGACCTCCTCTGGCTAACAGCAGGTACTGTAACAACCGGCTACATAATTCTCTCCCCTCTTGTACATCTGAATTTCACTAATTTGCCTGCAAATTAATAAAACTAAATGCCCCTTAAAAGAAAATAAAGCTTTAATTGATTTTTTGGTTGTTAGCAAAACGTGTTAGCAAACCACATCCAGCTAAAAAGGAACAACATTACCATTCATTTGAAGTTGTGTTTGACAATATAAGTCCAATATGAACTCTCCTTTTAGTTCTGTTTTATTTCCACTAACTCCTGTGGGAAATTTTGGCTCTTTAGCAACTAAACGCTCCACTATGTTCACTAGCTAGCTGCTAACTTTGTCTGTCTGATGTTTGGTGGTCAGGTAGTGTTAAATAGGTTTGTCAGGGCCTTTTTCACTATAAACAGCTGCTGCAACTGGAAACAATGTGGTTAAGAATTGTGAGAGTGAACCACAACAGTAACGTTGCAGATCTTGACACCAAAGCAATGAGCTGAAAGAGGTTCAAATGATCCAGAACTGAGAGGAACTGCAGAATTTGGTGCTAATTTTCTGCAGGTTTGTCACTACAAGTGACACCTTTCATAATACATGTAGTCTCTTGACCTATTGTTGATATAAAAATATTGATGAATGCAGCTTTAAATCTAAATCGGCCTCCCTGCTCTCTCTTACGTTTCCACTGGTCCAGCGGCAGATCAATGTTGTCCATAGTCTGATCATAAGGCAGCGCTTCAGTCTCCTCGTCTGCATCTCTGTACTCGCTGAAGAAGGGCAGGTCAAGTGCCTCTGAGGCGCTCACCCTCTGCTCAGGGTCCAGAAGCAGCATCTTTTCCAAGACACACACTGCTGTTGTTGCAGAAACATATCACGGTCAGCATGACAGAGTTAAGTGCACCACCACCTGGGTATACTGGGGACCAGAGATCTTTACGTACCACTTGAGCTAGCTTTGGAGAAAATTGAGTGCAAATCTTTTTTTGGCACTTTTGTCAGACTTCTGATGTAGTTTTTGGCCTTTCAAAAGAAGAAGTGGAGAGAGGGTTGAAACATTCTTAAAGGGTTACTTCCTCACACAGTGTGGCAAACAACAAGCAATGGTTCAGCAATAATGAAATACTTTTAAATACATTTAAATGAAAAATGCATTATGAACATATTTAAACAAAAGAAAATCACCTTAAAGTGTTATTCCACCCAAAACATATATGAAGCATATTCTCACAGTCACTGGTTCTTCCAAATATGGTTACTACATCTGTGTTGTCTATTTGAGTTTTCAGGGAGCAAACTACACACTTCACAACCACCTTTCAACTTTACAGCCAGTGAATGTTTCATACAGATTTTGCATTGAGTGTGTCTTTATCATGTGAGTCTAACACCGGAGTATGACTTACATCTTGGCTTTGTAGCTTCACAACGAAGTCAGCAGCTGGGGTTCCTGTAATCTTCATGATTTCTCTGAGCTGGTCCAGATCTGGCAGCAGCTATGGTTAAGTGTAATCCGTTGCATGTATTTTTACCGTTCAAATATGAGCTTTCTATATAGTTTATAATGCTAGTGTGATCAACGTGACAATAACATACAGTAGACACTGGAAAACAGGCATTTAAATGATTTTTTCATTACTAAGGATGGATTTCATTGTTAGTTTAGAAGGACAGCTACCCTGGATAAGAAGCAGACTCGTTTTTCCTGATTTTGACACATTATAAGACAGTTACATTTTGCAGGTTTGACACGATCTGTGCAAGACAAAACCAAGCAGCGTTGACAACAGTTAAGGATACGATCATTTCCTTTGAACAGTGGTTTTCCCAGCAGCATCTCTGCCATAATACAACCTGCCGACCAGATGTCCACTGCAAAAGAGAGAAAATGTCAACTTCTTGTAAAATTTGGGTTATGAAATAGGTCTCTTTGCATTTTGCTGCACCCCTGTTCACACAAAGTACTGTGAAGAATGACGGTTTACCAGTTTGTGTGTAGTGCATCCAGTTGAGGATGACCTCAGGCGCTCGGTACCAGCGTGTCACGACATAGCCGGTCATTTCTGCGTCAGCCTGTCGCGCCAGGCCAAAATCGAGTATCTGAAGCAGAAAAATTGTAGAAATGGAAATGACATGAAAATGTGTAGATGTATGGGATGATCACATTAAAACAGCTTTGTGTAAAGTTGGTTTACCTTTAGCTCACAGTCTGGGTTAATGGCTAAATTTCCAGGTTTAAGGTCCTGTGGGATACAGAAATGTTAGACAAAGGAGATAATACTTACACAGTCAGTGATATGAGTCATTAGAAGACATTTGTTTGTATTTTTTTCATATTTTGAGGTTTTTGGCTTCCTAAGACACACTTATGTGTATATGGGCACTTTGGATTCCTGAACTTTGACTGGAAGGCTTCTGCCTCTTCCAGGGCTAGCAACAATGAGCAACATCCAGCCATTCAGTACTAAAGTGGGTAAATTCAAAGAGAGATCTAGAGACATGTGAGACATTTCAATAACAAAATCTAACAGACGGCGTATCATTCTGTCTTGAGTTCAGAAGACTCCCTGTGTGGGAATCAGGATGAATGGGATTGAGTGTGAAAAAGAGCAAGAGCCCCACCCCCAAAGCTTATAGTCTGAAAGGTCAAAGTTCACGCACCCTGTGGATGATCCCTGCAGAGTGGATGTACTGAGGAGAGAGGAAATACAGACAACATCAGCAACTTCAGCTCAGCTCTCTGAAACAAGCATTTGACCCTCACTTTTTACTGTAATTATCAACAATGTTGAGTGATGGTAAAAACTGTAATCACATTAGTTTTTAAGTAAACTAAGACTTAATGTACTCTCATGTTCACCACTCTAACAGATTGTCATATGATGCATATATATGCATTGGTTGTCACCTTGAGTCCTTTCAGCATCTGATAGACGAGGAACTGCACTCTGTCTTCTGTTAATCGCTCCAGCTTCATCAGCTTGCTGAGGTCAGTGCCCATGAACGGCATCACCAGGTAACTGCGGACAAGAGAAGACGAGTCGAGTTTCCAGTGGAAAAACATTAGATTTTATAATCAGCATTCAGGAATGGACGGAAACTTACAAGTCACGTAAGCGGTCCAATGAGATTTCAGCAGTAAAAACATCCAGGAGCCCAATTACCTGATCGGGAGAAATAAAAACAAACAGAAAATCTTTATTAAGACTGACCCCTAAAACTTATCTTTCAATTTCAGCTTTAAAACACATATCCCTTCTTTCTTTTGTCTGTGAAGAGTGTTCTTACATTTTCATGCTTCATGTGTTTGAGGAGTCGCAGCTCTCTGTAAGCCCTTTTGGCGAAAAGTTTGGACTGGAAGGGCCGGTGAAGTTTCTTGATGGCCACCTGCGTCCCCGTCCGGCGGTCCCATGCTGAGCTGAGACAGACAGACACAAAGGTATATTTTATATATTATGTGACCCCTAAAAACTAAATTGTTGTATCCAAAACCAAAAATGCAATTTTTGTAGCAAAACTTTAATCAATGTCTATGTTCAACATGTCCAGAAGGACATCCACAGGTGTAATTAATAACATGTAAATGGAACAGTGCCTCATTAATTCTATTAATTACACCCCAACCTTCCCTGCTATGACAAGTCACGATGTCTGCTGTGACAAAAAGGTCTGTATGTGATTGAAGACAAAGTAGTGGTGCGTTCTATACACTTAACTCGGGGTCTTTGACTTCTTTCAACAATGAGACTGGGGGTTGGTTTTCTTTGTTGACCCTCATCCACACAACACAATGCAATGAGAGGCCCTGCAGAGCCAGCTGTGGAGGAACTACTGACCAAAATACCCCACACAAGCAGAACTGCTGCTGGAGAAAGTATACTCAAGTAGAGGTAAAAGTACTAGTGCAAATATCTACTTGAGTTAAATAAGGCTAAACTGGCTCATTGTTATTGTTATAAAATATCTAGATATCTAGAGTACTTTTTCTTTAGTTTACTGGATGCAAATGAAAACAAAGAGTATTGGTTGCTTTCCTAGATACTATTGCACTAAAGAGCTTATCTACTTCCACACTGTATCGACATTAAGAGGTGGTTTCGGGTGAGAATGCATTTGATTTGAATTTGAATGTGATCACATAGTCCGACATGGCATAAAGCCTGTCTCTCAATCAGCTGATAACACAAATCCAATCACTCCTTCTCTGAGTTGTAAAGCTGACATTTTCCTCCTGAACTTACCACACAGTCCCGTACGCTCCTGTCCCGACCTGCTTCAGGTCCCGGTACCTCTCCGGAACCTCCCACACGGTTCTGTTTACCTCCTGCCGGGAGAACCCCGTCCTTGAGCGCACAGCCATACCCTACCGACTAGACACGGCTGGATGTGGGTCCCCTCGACTCTCGGGTCCGGTCCGCTGCGTCCTCATATGTTAAACAAAGTGAGTTTTTATTGTAAAACGCAGCGGAGACGCGCAGTCGGTAGCGCAGAGGAGAGTTTGTTGGGGCGCAAATTCCTCCAGCTGAAGCAGCGACCACTTGTGCGCGTCGCAGTTACACCCCCGACACACACACACACACACAGACACACACACACACATTGTTACTTGTGGTTTCTGGTCGCCCAGGGCAGTCTATGGGTGTGTCTACAATGTGTGTGTTGGGGGGGGGGGCAAAACATCTGCCCACCCTAAGGTTATACCCCTATACACTTAGAATACTTATAATAATGTTTCTGTAATGTCCCTGCAGAGGAGGCAAAATCACCTGCAACTTCAAATGACTAGTGATCATAAAAGGCCATAAAAAAGTCTGTTTATAGAGGCCTCATCTAATTTTTTATCAATTATATAATATTTTTTAACCGTTTTTTTTTTACTTTTATTATTAGTTACAGAGTAAAATTGGAAAAAAATAATTTAGTGTTGTTGTATTTCTATAGCCTATATGTATTGATCTTATTTATCTTCAGTGTATGTTTTTTTAACTGTCCTTTGGTGTCATTATAATGTTATACACCATACTATACTATGTTACACTATATTATACTCCATATCATACACTATATTCCATATCATACTAAGCTTCATTACATTATACTATACCATACTATTGTATACTATGCTATGCTATATTGTACTATTTTATCAATCCAAACTATACTATATTATACTACAATATACTATTCTAGACTAGACTGTATTATACTATACTATAAGGATGCTCGGGGATACCAAGTACAAGTACTTACATTTAATACAGACTACAGATTAGAGTACTAAATAATACCATTACAGTTCAAACAATGACATTTTATTTTCATCAAACGTTTCTCACTTGTATTAAACTACCTATTTCATAACATATTATTGTTTGCTTCCTGTTTCACAGAACCTTATCCCAGAATGCATTTTCTCTACTGCACACCCCTCCTCTTGACAAAAGCAGAGCAGTTTGCTCTACTTTTGTCATCATCTTAAAATATCTCCAAACTGCTGACACTGCTTCGCCTCCTCCGGCATGCTCCACTAATAAATAGTTTTATGATTACGATTATGAGTACATGAGAACAGTATCAGACTGTTTTGGGTATCCAAGTATTGGTATCAGTGCATCCCTTCAATACTGTATTCTTTCTACGATATTATTGAACCTGGCTGCAGGGATTTACTCTTATTCAGCCACAATACTACTAAATTCAACCATTGATTTTGGACATCAAGGCCTTGCTCTCAGTTGACGTACCAATTAATTCCAGTGGTGGATGGAGTTGAGGTCAGGGCCCGTTAACAAAACTTTAATACATGTTTATGAGACTCACCTCGACCAACAGGACAGAGCCTTTCCCAAACTGTTGCAGCAGTGGTGGAGTATGTGGACAGGGGTGTCTATAAATCAAAATGGCTGAATATATAAGACAAGAAACATACTGCCAAACAGAAACGACGGTGTTTATTCTGTTGAAGCCAAGACTTGCCAAGTCACGTTACCCGTTGATGAATGAAAAAATCATCTGAATCATTTGAAAACTGAGAGGAGACATTCTGTTTAGTGATTTGAAACTCATGGCTACCGTAGAACCACATGCCACCATGTATTCAAAAGACGCTTCTAACTTGTAACATACATACAGTATACGTATACATTCGATTTGCAGTTTGCTATTCAAATCCACCACATATACAACATCCACATAAGCACATAACACTTTAACATTCAGAGCTCTAACACGCTTTGACTGAGACAGACAGTTTTGATTCATTTGGACTGTAAATTCAACATTTCGCATTCCAGTGTTAATGGACGACTTGCACAAAAGGCTACATGTAGCATTCCAGTGTGAACCATTGCAGGGGGAAAAAGTTAAGAGCAGGTTTCCTTTTTATTCTTGTGTTTTTTTTTTATTATTCCTAAATAGTAAATTGATGTTTTAGCAGAAATAATCTCATTGAGTAAGTGGATTAAGCCAGGGAACCACAGTTTACTTGCACAGCTATGAAGGAACACTCTGCAGAACGAGCTTGAGGCTCTAAAGAGCTGCTAGTGCTGCTCTACACCTGCCATTAGTGTCCAACTTGTATCCAGATAGTATACAGGTTAAGTGTAAGAACGCATCTGCAGCAGTCGGGTATAATAAACCTCATGTATGAGCTCTCCCAGATTGCAAATTCCCTTAACTTTAGTTCTTACTCAGTTGTTCGTCTTATATCTGCAGCAAAACCTCAAATAAGCTTCAGGGCCAACCACATGTATATTCCATACTCTATTTGTAGTAGTATATTAGTGTTTCAACTATCTAAATCAAAACTAACTTGCAGCTCATTTGCTAATCTAAAGACTTACAAGTGTTGCTACTTAGAAAGTCAATTAGGTAAAACTCATTTATATCTGCTTTACACCTGCCTTTGGTGTCCAACCTGCATCCAGATAGTATACAAACTAATAATGTAGATGCAGCAGTCAGATATAAACTTGATTTATTGATAATCTTGATTTCTTAGCTTTTTGTCACCCCAAATGCCATCTGGCATGTGTAAATGTCTTTTACTTCTTATTCTGTTGTTCATCTTATATTTGCATTTAATGCGTTCATATTAGTTATTCCTTTTGAAGCTGACATTTAAGGTTTGTGGCTTGATTAGATTTATTTAACCTTGACGAAACTTCTGAGAACAATCTGTTTCAAAACACCAACAGAGTACAGTAAATGCATCTTAAGTGTGCTCATGAATACATTTATATCCCATTAAACATGATCAGATATCTGATCCGAAGACTAGGGTTCTAGACTGTACTTCTTAAGTTAATATCAGAGTACTAGACTGTGCTCTTTAACCTATTGACATTTCATCCACTGACCTTCAGTATTAAGCTGGAAAACTTGTGGTTCATTGGCTCTGCACACTGTGGCTTAACACAACCAGTTTATTCCTACCTCAGCAAAAGGTTTGTGGAACTAAAAGTCCAGTCTGCTGCAAGACAAATGACACAATGTCAGTGAAGAAGTCAGCCTTTTGATGTAATAATATGCATATGTGTTGAGCTCAAGCTGCTTATACAAATGTATTTGAGGGCGTACCTAAAGATGGGTATGGGTATAATAATGTTAATTAGATTATATATATAATATATTATATTATATATAATAAGCTATGAACTGTACTTGTGAAATACTCACAGTCTTGGTAAAGAACATGGTCACTAATGAACCTGAACACTCTGGTTTGTTTTCTTTATAACACTCAAGCATCGTGAAAACTGAAAAAAGGCGGAAAAATGAAAGATCACTAATGAGCTCCCTTGTTGCCACGAGCAGCCAAATATGGCTACTTTATGGGAATCATCAGCCTGGAGGGTTTGACCAGTCATTGCTTGGATGGAGCTACCAGTTGAGTAATATATCATTATCCAACAAGAGTCACACTGTCTGGGAACTGTTTCTAACAGTTTACAAAAATGCCCGTAATCTTATTTATTGTAAACACAAACCGGGGCTGTAAAAGACACAGCAGAGAACTATGGAAACCTGATGGAGCACTGTCAACAGGTGATCAGAAATCAGCCATCAGCGGAAACTGTATATGAGAAGCGAGGTCACACTGTAAACACAGACCTGCAGCACAGTCACTCTGCTCCAGCTTTGGCATATATTAATTACCTTGCTAATCAATAGCACAGTTGGTGTTTACTATTCTGTAAGCAGGAGAGGATGATTCCATCCAAGGAAGAGCAGTAGTTTTTGTTTGCCTTTTTTTTTGTTTTTTTTTACTGTGCGGAAATTATACAGATAAAACCGGTTGAAAGTTGAACACATTTCCTGGTAATGCCGCTCTCTGAATCCTCAGGCTGGCTTTCCAGCAGTGTGGCAGATGCAATAAGCAGTCTTGATGGTTACAATACAGCACCGGTAATATTCTGTAATAATAAAATGCTCATAAGTCATGCAGTAGTATGGAGGCGAAATGCTAAGCATGATGTGGCATTGCTGCAAGCCTTTAAACATGAATACCATATATGAAAGCAGTGACTGCTTATAGCATGTGTCATGATGAGGGACCAGACGGCACTCTGTCGTTGCTTTGGAAATCCTAGTGTGCGTTTTTTCCCCTTTTTTCTTCCTTTGATACCCTTCTACCAGTCTGTAAACACAGTTCAGTTCCATAAAGTTGCTCCCTCCTATGAACCCTTGCGTCCTCTGCGATCCCTGACATATAGCCACGTTGAATGGTTCCTCATTTTACCTTCACTGAGCGGAAACATAAGAGGAAGCAACTTTCTGGACTGGAAAGCTCCTTCTATCGGATTCTAAAATGCTCCCTGTAATTGCAATGTGTGCATCTGATCCCGTAGAGACCGTCCTGCCCTGCTGCTCAAACAAACTCATGACAGGCAATCAAACACACAGTGAGCAGAGGGAACACAGAGTTTTCTTCAGCTGGCCCGCCACAGTCCTTCTTCCGCTCACTGAGTATGTGTTCCTTCTTCAGGTAAAGGTTGAGGCAGAGCAGAACAAGGATTACTGCTCCGCCTGAAGGCTATCGGTCTTGCTGCCGGATGCTTTGAAGCTGTTCACTTCTTCGAATACCAACTCTATGCACACATGGAGAGAAATAAGGGAAAAGAAAACACGTTAGAAGTGTTTGAGCCATGTAAAGAGGCTGTGAGGAATATTTCAAACCTGTTTAAGGTGAAAAAAACCCATAATGAAATGGTATAAAACCCTTCTCATCGTCGCAACACAGAGTAATTTAATATAAAAACCAACCAACCTCTGGAACAAGCTTTTATACAGTGCTATTATAATTGTGCTTGTTCAGCTTGGTATACTGATCTATCAAAGAAACTTAAAAATTAGGATGCAAACCATGCACAAAAATTATCCACAATGACTCACATTAGCCCCGGGGCATTTCACAAACCATAAAACTTCCCTACGAAATGAAACGTAATCATATTTATGACGTTACGAATGGCAACTCTGAATATTTCAGTATTTGGTGGTATAGTCAGCATTCCTGCGACAAACATACAAGCTTAAACTCATCATTGTGTAATCCTCTAAATTAAAAGCTCTGCAGCTTGAAGATCACTTTGGATCTGTAGCAACATTCTGTGCCACTTCCTTAAATGCAAATCAAATCTGTCCTTCTAAAATTGTTTATAAAAGGAAGTGAGAGCATTAATTTAAAAGAAAGAGACAATATCTGAAATTTTAAAATGCCTTGGATAAGCTGCAGTTACTTCATGGTCAGTCTTTTATTGTGCTATCCACTGTTAGCTGTTTTAAATCATATATTGTGCTCCTTTCAAATTTGCTTTACCTTTCCATTCTTCTAGAGTTCGGTCTTTACTCTCCAGTGTTTGATCGTAAGGCGGGGCCTCTGGCTCATCGTCTGGATCATGGTATTGAGAGAAGTAGGGGTGGGACAGAGCCTCGCTGGCCGAGATCCTCCCATCACAGTCCAAAACCAGCATACGCTTCAGCAGGTCGACAGCTAACAGAGACAAAAACAGTCAGAGAGGTGAAGGACGGCTGGGATACGGTAGGAGGTTGGAAACAAGTTTAAACCCAAAGGGCCATGTCTGTGTAACTGAATTTGCAATATGGAGACAGCAACTAAAGCTCTAGCAGCCTCTCAAAGCCTTTCAATTGAATTTAAGAAGTTGATAATCCAATCTGTGGTGCATCGCCCACCTAGTGGATTTGCGCCTCTGAAGATCTTTTCCAGGTCCTGCTGGGGCATAAAGGGCAGAGACTGGATGTACTTCTGTGCCTGCGAATAGAGACCAGCGTTCAACTTGTGGCATGTGTCAATGTGGATCATTTGGTCTCAAACAGTTAGTGATCAATCACCCCAACACTGCCGCATATTGGCTATTCAATCAACAGCCATGTCAATGGAAAGTGCTAACCCAATAGAACAGGTCGCCTGCGTCAGCAGAAGCAACATGTGCATAACATCTTTTTTTTAAACCAAAAGTGCTTCCCAGTCTTCCCTCTATACATTCTTCCCTCTCTCACATGTTCAGAGCAGATCTTCTTTAACAGATCGGGCGTCGGAGTCCCAACCACCTCCATGATTCTCTTCAGCTGGTCAATGTCTTGCAGAAGGAGTTAAGGGCTGTTAAGATTTGTGAAACGTCACCAACCTGCAGGATTTGACTCGTCAAATTATCTTGTCACACAGGAAATCAACTTAGACAGAAACTCTACTTGCTGGGCTCCGCTGAAAGTCGCCTGTTTTCTAGACAGCAAGTCCCACAACACACAAAGACCAGTAAATCAAATTCGTTTTAGCTCTGCTCTTAAATACCGAATACAACAACCTAGATAATTCAGCCTTTTGTCATCTCTCCTATTCATTCCCCACTTCTCTCTGTTGACGCACCTCCCCTTCAGAAAGGCCTGGGATTGTAATGCTAATCCAGAAGAGGTCTGGATCCACAGGGCACTTTAAAGAGGTAATGGAACGTTGATGGTAAGAGGGGAAAAAAGCTGCAAATTGCAGCACACTCTTGCCATGCTAATAAAGGATACAGTCAGTGCCAGGAAAAAGGACTTTTCGATTCAGCAGCTCTCCCATAATGCATCCCACTGACCAAATATCAACTGGAACAGAAAACACCAGAAGTTAAATCGTTAAACTAACATTTAATGAGTATGCTTCTAAAAAAAAGATATTAGAAAAGCTTATTAAATGGCATCTTACCATTCTGATTGTAGTGCATCCAGTTCAGCATGATCTCTGGCGCTCGATACCAGCGAGTCGCCACATACCCTGTCATCTCATCATCTGTCTGTCTGGCCAGTCCAAAGTCTATGATCTGTGCAACAGGACGACCATTTTTTTAACTGATGGAGTTCATAGGCTGCAGTAAAGGATTTGTAGGTTTAAACTGAAGGTCAGTCTTACCCTCAGCTCACAGTCCTCATTTACTGCCACATTACTTGGCTTGAGGTCCTGGGAGAGATAGTCAAGCAGACAAAGGAGACAAACATGATTAGAATGAATATGTATCTGCAGAGAGAAGGATAGATATGAATATAAAACAACATAAACCACCAGCTTTTGTTTGTAATACATTTTTTGCTGTTTTCACTGTATTTATACAGAGCAGACTCATAGACATTCATCTTGAGGGCACCAATCAACTATTACAACTATAAATCAGTGGTTTCCAAAAAGCCATTCCTGTACCTTTTAAAGTCACTGCAACCTATTTTGAGTCCCGTATCTGACTGACTTTTCTATTTGTAGCAAAATATTAAATATTCAGTCCTTATGTCCAGGCAACTGGATTTCACTGACTTGGAGAACCAAAAGGGAACCACATGGCTGAACTGTGTATAAAATTATCCACGACATCTAGAATATTTCCGTTTCAATTAATGGTGCAACCATATAGACTCAGTGTAAACAAAAGCCTATCTTCAATGGAGAATGGGAGCAAGCTTATGATACTGCCAGACAGTGTGGAATGAGTTGATTTTTCCGATCTTAAAGCTACCTTATAGGGGGAAAGCTGTATGTTAAAAGAGGTTTTTATTTATTTATATTTTAAACCAGGCAAGTGCTGTTATGCTTTCTCAAGCTTGATAGTCAAAATGACAAGAAGGGCAAAGAGAAGGCACTCACTCTGTGGATCAATCCCGCTGAATGGATGTACTGTTCGACAGGCGGTGGGGTGGGGCAGGAGGATGGGGGAGGAGAGAGAGGACATAAAGGGAGACAGAGGTCAACAGTGCAGTTCACCATATTAGCCCCTGCCAAAAGGGAGACTGCTTTTGTCTGCCCCATGGTAACCGGGAAGGCCGAACAGCCGGCTGCTGGCCTGATTCAGTGTTAGCATGCAAGCTTTGGACACAATTCACAAAGAATAACAGAATGTCAAACTCAATATAAATATAGTGAGTGTTTGTGCAACATAGACTGTGGTTTCCAAATTCTGACAGAGAGATTGCTGACAGGTGGAATTCACTTTAACCATGACATACTACAGTGATTCCCAACCGGGGGGACTTGTACCTGAGGGGTACAATACATATCCACATATTGAGTCCTCTGTTAAACCTAAAAACTACATTACAAAACCTGCAAGTGAGCAGAGAAGTTGGGTAAAAGTAATGGATACATGGTTGAAATACTTAGCTAAGAGTGAGGGATAAATGTTGATATAATTAAGCAATAGACTGCAATTTCTATAGTTTGCTAAAAGTAATGGATAGCATAGATGTTGAAATATTAGAGCAATGGAAGAATGGTTGAATAGGCTAAATAAATAGCTAAAAGCTAAAAAAAGAAATGGATAAATGGTTTAAATGACCAACTTCTGCCACTCTAAGTTAGCAGTATGACAGCAGACTTGACCATAGCAACCTAGACATTGACAGTTCAGTTGTACTTGAGTTGTGGCAGTACATCAGACAAAAACGGTCAGGAACCAGTGGTATACTATCTGCATATTAACACATACATTATGTATGTTGCATTCAGTTCGCCGTACAGCAGGTGTATCATTATGCAGTTGATTACCTTGAGGCCGCGGAGAAGCTGGTAAATTAAGAACTGCACGTGCTCGTCTGACAACCTCTGAAACTTAACGATGTTATTGAGGTCTGCGCCCATCAGGTTAGTCACCAGGTAGCTGGAAAATGGGAGAGTGTATGTGTAAATGGTGGGGTTGTAGGGAGTTTCAGTTAAAAGGAGAGCATGAGTGATGCTGCCATGGCAACCGTCAGACATTTACAAGCTATCTACAAGCCCATAATCCCCTAGGATTGCCTCCACCAACACCACCTTGCCCTCTAATAACAGAATCTTTTCATTTTTGGTGAAAAGTAGACAGCTGTATATAGATTGTAGTAAATATTGAGGGGTGAAAGATTTACAGTTCATTGAAGTCCTCTAATGCTGCAGCAGGTGTGAAGACGTCCAGCAGCCCTATTACCTGCAGCGACAGAGACAGAGACAGAGACAAGCAGAACTGATCAATAACAGAGCGGAAACATGCAGGGAGCTGCGTCTGTCTGTCTCTGGGTATTTTCAAGGAACACTAACATTCTCATGTTTCATGTGCTTGAGCAGCCTGAGTTCCCGGTATGAGCGGCGGCTGTGGATCAGAGACTGAAAAGGCCTGGACAGTTTCTTCACCGCAACCTTCTGTCGCAAGACAACATCATACGCCGAACTGGAGAGAGAAAACAGAGAGAGATAAATATTAAAAACTTGTCTAAATGAACTTCAACATACTTATTGTTTACTGTATGAAATGTCAGTTGACATGGCTCCCCAAAAGGGAGTTTTTTTAAATGAAAACCATATTGCTTTTACTGCAAGTGGGCCTAAAAATGCTAATTGACATTAGTTTGACATTTTGCTTTCTTGCAGAGTTAAATAACAAAATGCATACCTCTCTATTGTCTGTCCTTTAAATATGAAGCTACAGCCAGGGAGACAGTTGAAACAGGAAAAAACAGCTAGCCTGGCTCTTTCCAAAGGCAACAAAAACGATCTACCGCCACCCTTGATGTTTACATGTTACATCTCCTCTTGTTTAATCTATACAAAAAACAACGTGCAAAAGATGATTTGCGGTTTTATAAGAGGGTCATGTGCAGGACAATTTCTTGGTCAGGCACACTTTCTCTGATTTTGTTGCTTTCAGCTAAGTAGGCTAGCTAATGCCACTGTTTCCTGACATTATGCTAAGTTACATGAAAGCCCAGCACATTGTCTCCTGGCAAAAAAATGGCCAATTATTACTTCACACTTTACAGATATAATGTGTTAATTTGTTAAGCGTTTAGAAGTTCTCGTGTCATGGGGATTTTGATACTTTACTCTAGATAGATAGATGATAGATATATAGATGATGATAGATAGATGATAGATAGATAGATAGATAGATAGATAGATGGATAGACTTTATTAATCCCCAAAGGGAAATTGGGTTGTCATTTTGGACAAAGCCAAGCAAGCTGTTTCCCTGTGTGTCCACTTCTTACTCCCTAAATTCCCCAAATGTCAAACCTGCTATCAGCTGATGACATATTAGTGACACATGATTGAGAGTGGAGAGAGACAGACTGACATAGACTAAGGCAGAGAGAAGAGGAGAGGGTGAAAGAGGATGTGGTGGAACAAGAGAAGTGAGGATGTCAGATATTGTAAAAGTGTCGTAGTTTATTTCATCTGCCTCTTTTGAAATGTAAATGCCATTCCACATATTGAACGCCGAGCCCTGCTGCTACTGATGCCACTGCCTTTGTGGTGTGATGTCTTTTCGGCCATGCCAGCGTTTCAACACTCGCAGTAATAATAATACAGCCATCAGAGAGCGGAACAGACAAACAGGAAGGAAACGTGTGAGAATTGAGAAATGCTGCACAGCACTGCAGTTACAGAGCAAGAAGTGAAACACTGGAAAAACTGGACATTTAAAGTAGAGTGAGACTGAATATTTGAAGGAAGATTCACACTGTATGCTGTTTGCATGAAACACGGACTCAATGTGTGGTATAAAATGTTATTTATTACTTTATTATGTGGCATAGTGCTGATTCATGATTACTGGAAGGGAGCCCCCCTCTTTGTTTACACTTGAAGTTTTATTTCAAGAATTTCTCAGTAATGAGGTATTCTTTCTGTGAAACCACAACCTGCTTTATCATTTTACCAAATACCCAGACTGACAGTTTGGCAGTTACGTCAGCAGCAGAACACCTGGTATTCAGCACGTAGTTTTAGATGAGGGTGGAGACAGTTACACAGTAGATGCAATATATTGAGAATTATTTTAACGTGAGAGAACAACTGTAATCCATAACTGACTCTTCAGCAATATATTTATTTCTCCCTGACTGATGTTCAGTGACAGTGCGACATAAAACTACTATTTGTTGTTGTGCACTTTGGTTTTTGTACAGATTAAATGAAAAAGATGGAAGATAATCAATGGGCTTTAGATGTGCTGAGCTTTCCAGTCTTTATGCTATCTATATTTTAATATCTTAATATTGACCCTTTTCACAGCAGGAATGTTTATTAGTATCACTGGCAACGCCTGTGTTTGCCCTACTATTTCATGTCAAAATGGCTGCTGTGAAAAAGGTATATTTAGTGTACAGATATAATGGTATCAATCTTCTCATTTTACTCATAGTAAGAGAGCAAACAAGCTCTCTCTCACAATTTCCAACTATTTTAACTTACAACATCTTTCTAATTTCAGTCTGAGCACGCCCCCTGTGCAGTATAAACGGGCCCCATGCAGGCCCAGAAACACAACCCTGGCATTATGCAACCATTTGCTAAAAAGGTTTCTGGTCTGACTGTATTTTACTGTCGCCCCTTTTTGAAAGACACAATCTGTACTTTCTAATGTATATAAACTATCCATGGAGGGAGTTGGTGTAACCTTCCATTTCTGTCATTTCCTTTCCTTCTAAAAACCTAAAAAACTCAGCTCACAGCAGGAGCAGTATATATATGGTCACATTGAGACAGTTCAAGTAGAAGTGCCTACCAAATGATGCATGTCTCCTGTTTTGTCCGCAGTATGAAACTCACTGTAAATATTACTGTATCATTTCATGGTGACCTATAATGCTTACATGCATGAGTAAACTACACTCTTGCACGGCTGAGTGCATCCACGTGGCTCTCTGTCCTGTAATCACCTGCTGCCAGTCCGGATGTCCCCGCCGGGCTTCAGCCAGGACAGCAGCCAGTCTCCTCCATCTCTGACATGAACCAGGCCTCACTGCCTCATACATACCTTCCTCCCTGCCATCTTCCATACATGGGTCTGACTGCACTGCTGTCAGCACACACAGCCCAGCCAAGGCATCGATTTCTCTCCTTTTCTTTTGTCTCAGTATTTTTTTTATATCCGAGCTCTTAGTGCGCCTCCGGTTTCAAAACGGAGTAGGGGGAAGGGGCAGCTAATATCCAATGTGAGATTATTCAAGTACACTGTTTATCCACAAAGGAAAACCTTTTTTATGTATGTTTTCTGATCTTATCAGTTAATGTAATTCATTCTGATTAAATCAAGAGGAAAACTTATGTATGCATATATTTGAAATGGGGGAGGGTACGCTTGCAGAATAAATTATAATTTGTTCTATAGATTGGTGTCCACAGGGTTTGTTTCTTGTATCCAACACTCTATCCAATTTTATGCATTTGAGGGAATAATTTGACATTCTGGGAAATATGCTTGTTGGATTTCTACTGGATGCTACTCTTATGCTTTAGTGGAATATTAAGCTACAGCCAGAAGCTGATTACCTTATAATAAGATAAGACTAAGACTGGAAATGGGGGAACAGCTAACATAGCTCTGTCCAAAGGTAGCAAAATCCACCTATCAGCACCTCTAAAGCTCACTCATTATACCTTGTTTGTTTAATACATACAAAAAATATGTGTAAAAATGACAATTTGTGAAGTCATGAAGTCACGTATGGGACTATTTCTTAGACTTCCTCAGATTAGCTAGCCCAGCTGTTTTCTCATGTCCAGTCACTATGCTAAGCTACACTAACTGGCTATCGGCCGAAATTTCATAATGAACGGACAGATATGAGAGTGGTATCAATTTCTCATCTGTATCCCAATTATGTCAAAACACTATACCCCAGGATACCCCCGGATACACACACATACCCACACTCTCTCTCTCTCTCACACACACACACACACACACACACACTCATCATAATAGCCTGCAAGCCTTTGTGTCTTTTTAACTGCACTGCAGTCACACAATCACCACCATCTCCCCAAACAAGATCAGCAACAAATCAGTTTTCTGCTCTCGTTTTCATATTTCCAATCAACAATCCGACAAGCGGAGACGTAACAATTCTGACAGGTGAAAATGAAGCCGTCATGTTTTATTCATAGTCATCCAAATGAAGGGCTTCATGCCAAAGTTCTGGTTTACTGAACAGATGTTACATATGCTGACATGAGATGAAAGCAGCCTTGATCGGCTTAGTGCATATTCCCTCCTGATGTTCAGTCTCGACTGGTCCAAAATTGGCCCAATTTTTGTCTCAAGAAACAGAAGCAGAAAAGAGAATATTCACTAGGATCAGGAAGCTGAGAGGACAATGAGTCTGGATTAGGCTAGGGATATGACAGTGTTCAGTCCTCCAAACTTTTTCTCTCATGA